CAGATACTTGGCGTAGTAGATCAGGTGATTTATTCTGTTGTCATATGATTTGCGGTTGACTCTTCTATTACAATACATTAACTCTTTTTATCAAATAGATATTTTATGATTTATGATGCAGGATACAAATAAAAGAAAATGTTTTTTTCATTTTTCCAATTTGAGATGGAAAGTGAAAAATAAATTTTTTCATTTTTTTATTTTTCTAATTTGAGATAAAGGTAGAAAAATAAATTTGTAATTGTAGAATAAGATATTGAAAATTGAAAATATGCAATTTGTAATTAATACTTAAATGGTTAAGCGATTTGATGATGGTTTCAGCACAAATATGTTATTTAAAACAATAATGGCAAATTATAAGATCATTTGACTTGAAATTTATAATAATAATAAGGTGTTAGGAGGAGGGTGGATGTTACTGTATTAACTATTAGGATTAGAGTAGTAAGTAATCTATTAGTAATCATAGTTACTAGTTACTAGTTACTATGACGAGGACTATAAAATCAAAGGTATTATTTTTCCAAATACGGATAAGTAGATCCAACTAAAAAAGAGTATTCTTTGCAAGTGTTTTTTGACTATAACCGGGACTTAATGAGAATTACCCGGTCACAAAGATTACGCATTAGGAAAAAAATACCTTCTGTTTTCTATTCTACGATAAATAATTGATTGTTCAATTTATTAATATTTAGTACCGGATATTCAAAATTCGTGGTTATTAATACCCCGGATCAATATATAGGGTACTATATATAGAACGCTTTACGGTACTATAGAACGCGCTTTACGGTACATTAGTTTGTACAACTAACTTCTATAATCAAAAGCAACGACTCCTTAATCAAAACGATATATTTGCTACAGGGTTCTTTTTTACATTTTCTATTTGTATGATATTGAACCCTTTTCGTTACCTTGGCCAACTCATGGCACGCTTATTTTGACGAAACCGATGTAGAAGATTGAATTTCATATAGAGTGGATCCGTGCTAATAAACCCAGCTTACGATAAGTCTTCAGACACACTCGCCAAAAGTCTCCGTGCGATTGTTAATAAATGCTCAGACGATAAAAAGTTACGAAAGCAAAGAGCCTTTTGGCTGTTATTAAAAACAAGTTACTTTAGTGTATTTTTTTGAATGCTACGTAATAAGAGTTTCTATATGAAACAAATCATTGGCCGTTATACGGCATAATTCAATGTTTCTTCTATAACAAAGAGGCGTGGCTTTTAGTTATTCCTCTGATGGGCTTTTAGCTCGTTGTAGTCTCTGGTTTTTATCAGTGAATAGAACCTTAGACAGGAAGTGTGGCTTTTAGCTGTTCTCTGACGGGCTTTTAGCTTGCTGTGGCTTGGTGTAGCACTTGTTGATTTACAGAAAATATTTTGTTCATTAAGATCAAACTAATTAATTTTTTGTTAGGATCAACGAGAAAATGGCAACGATATAGATAAACTTTGGTTTACCATTGAAAACAAAATGTGTACTCTTCAGATAGATAAAGAAAGAATGAATTTGGAAATTCTTCAGGTAATTAATTTGATTGTATAAACATTTGAAATGAATTGCTCACAACTTTTATCTGATGATTGAATACAACAGATTAAGGGAATTGCTCAAGCTACAAGTCAAAGCCAACTACATTGAATGATAGTGCTCTTGCAAACTTGAAATTTACCGCAAATAAAGTAAATCAAGATCAAGAACTATGTGGGATGAAATCCAAAAAATAATAGCAGATTCCGAAAACAATCTGTTTTCAGCATCCGGGGATGAGGTATGTTACTTCTCGTTGAGAATATATTTAATCATCAAAGTTCTACTTGTCCTAATGCTTTTTTCTGTGAACAGTACGTATATTCACAGGAAATTTTAAACGAAGGTATAAGATTACCAGCTCCTAATAAACGAGGAAATGAAATCGAAAGAGACGTTTCTAAACGTAAAAAGGTAAAAAAAAGTATAAGTGGTAAAAGCTACAAGAACTAAAAGCTTATGTACATTTTTTTATATTTAGGCAAGAAAGAATGATCTTCAACCAAGAAACGGAAGGTCTTCCTACGAGTCTCTTCTCTCTTATGATAAGAGTAACAAAGAACATGATGAAGACGATATGGAAATTAAATTTGACCTAACAAGTTTTTCAACCGAATTACAACGTGAACCGATAGTCAAAGTATGTCGCATATTAAATTTACTACATGTACTTTACAGTTTGCTTCTGTTTTTAGTGGGAAGTTGGCCACATCAATGTAACCGATCGGTTTCGGCAGTACCAGAAAGATATTATTAAGAAGGCGGAAATAAAAGGGTTGAAATACGATAATATATACGAACACTTGTATGTATTCTGAAATATGTAACATTTGACTGACGATTTATTGAGCATCTTTTTCTTATTATACTTGGAGCTTTATCATCGATTATTGTCCTCTCCTTGACATGTCCGTATCCCTCCTTGTTTACAATTCAAGAGTGGAAAGAAGTTACAAAAAATAATCCTTTTGCTGTTCAAGAATCCTCACTTTCACCAGACATTTTGTCATCTCTTAATGAAGCATCGTTTAACCATTTTCTCGGCATGGACACATTTATGGAAGGTGGAAAATCGAAACTAAGTAGAATAGCTGCACGATCGTTTAATGACTTGTAGGTAATATAATTTTATAATGTACATGAGCTTGTAGCTTATATAATTTTTTTTACGTCATAAATATGACAATGCTATGATGATTGCTCCGTTAAAATAGTCCGAAGAAGAACATTGTTTACATTTTGTCTATCCAATTGCTCGTCCATTTTTCGTCGGTGAAAAAGAATACGATTTAGTATTAAACCGTTCTAATGCGGGTTCTAAAAAAAGACCGGACCTTTCATGTGTGGTAAATGGTGTACCGATTTTGAATTCGGAATTTAAACCTTTGGGAAGTACAACAGAATGAAGGACAGACTGAAGGTGCAGTTAAAAGCCCGAAAATCCATTAATCAACAATTACAAAGTAAGGGAGGTCCGGGCGAAGCCGTAATATTCTTAAACACGGGTAGATGAGATTCATGAGAATTTATTTTTATATATATTGATTTATTTTATGTGATAATTAGGCGATTTAATGGAATCTTACACTATGGACCTTAAGTACGACGGTTTATACCGTTCCTGGCCATTCCTCACTACCAGGCTGATAGTTGACAAGACCATGATTGCGCTTGCAGGAGTTGCGATCCATCATTTGGTATCCTTAGAGGTATATTTTACATTTTCTTTGTTTATAATGAGAAATTTCACTTAATTTCATTTGCCCTTTACAATGATAGGAACACGTTGAATGGATCGCAAAAGATTTTAAATATAGAACATGTCGTAGTGGTAATACTACACCAACCGAACAAATGTCTTTTATGCGCAAATTTCCAGACCCACCACAAGTAAAGAAATTGATTCATTAAATTAGGGTTGGTTCAACTTATTATTCATTTATTAGATTTAGAATTTGATGTATTTAGATTGGATAGCATAAATGTATATTTTCGCATCTATTATTGTCAATTTTTAGTTGTGCATTTTTTTTTTTTGATATGTAACTACAATATATACCTGCAAATAAATTCTATATCTGATATTACGTTCCATTTTTATATTATATTTGCAAAGATCACGAAAAAATTTCCGGTTTTAAGTAACCATATACACATTCATAAAAGGCGGTGAATATAGTGTAATAACTACATATAGGTCTTCGTTATACCAAAAATACCTCAAGGCAATCCAATTCTCTTCACATAATTCTTTCTTGATTTGATCCCGTGACTGCTGTCTGATAAAATGATTAGGATCGCCTCTATGAAAGAATTCATTATATTTTTCGTACTGTATGGCCCTTCGCTTGCAGATGCATGTTTGCATGCGATTCATCTTCAAAGATTTGAAGCGAGCTAAAAAATTAAGAAAAATTTAATGTTCATTATCAAATAGTATCAAATGAAAAGTCCTATTTAAACTTCAAATATAATAAAGTTCAAGTATAATAAAATTTTAACTAAACATTATTATTCATACAAAGAGAATTGTTCAATTCCTGAGACTTCTACTTTTTGTAATCCATCTGATATGTTGTTTCTTGAAATATAACCTATTAGCGCTCCAGCTCAGCATATCTTTATATTCAAAAATCGATTAAAATTTTATTGTTTTATATTAAGTTCAATTATTTTAAAGATAAATACTTAACAATACTTAACAGTTTCAAAACTTTCCATATTTAAAATACTTGACAATTGAAGGTACATCTTTCTCTTATCGATTCAAGAATTGAATTCACATGGTTTTGGACGCCTAAACGAATCGATAATAATTTCGGCTTTGCTGAAACATATAAGAATTCGGCGCTAGGTCGAATAACAAGCTCAGTTTCAAAGGGAATTGAGTCATCTAATTTATGTAAATTTTTAGTAGATAAATGTGATGGAATGAATAATCTTTAATTAAAATTTTAAAACCTTGCGTTTTTAGAACTTCGATAAAATCATCATCTGCACAAGAATTAGTTATGATAACCGAAGGTTGAATTTGATAGCGTACTATAATAATTAATAAAATCATTTATTTTGTGGTAGAATCGCTCAAGACTTACATAATCGTATGGCGGGATTCTTCCATGTCTTCCATAAGATATAATTTGCAAGTTTCCGAATTGTAATAAGCACATCCCAAGTTTACGTTGTTTGTGATTCTTTGCCTTTAATTTTCGATAAGAGCGATTGTTCTTCACTCATCCTACGATGATTCCCGTTGTTTTTTCCTACTCGATTTAATGATTTTTGCCTGTTTAAATTCTCGTCTATAGAAATTTTTGAACTTGTTTCGACAGGACAAGAAGGAGTAGAGTGTAACTAGAAGAATCTGTATTATGAAATTCAATTTATATCATGATTGTATTAATTTATCTGATAAGCTTCCATATTCAGATGATAAAAGTAGTCTATTTATTGAGCCTAATAAGTTATCCTTTTTTATTTATTATTAATAAATGTGTTTTGACATAAAGTTTAAATCGATTTATAAGTTAATTATAGTAGGAGCAAAACTAGTTTTAATAAATGACAAATGTCGTATTTTATTTAATAAATAGCTTTTTATTTTCGGCAGTTTCGATATTATAGTTTCGACAATACCGTCGAAACTTAAAGGTTATACCCGCAAATTTTTTGATTTTATAGTCGTTCAACAACTTAGACATGACTGAAATCTTCGATTTTATTATTATTCTCTTTATAAACGACATTTTGTGTAATGAGAACAAACTATACTTTTCTTGTATTGTCATTTTTATTATCTGAACTATTTCCAAAATTATTTCATTAACCTACTGGGAAAAAGCATTTTTGTAAGGTTTTTTTTTCATTTAATATTTATCTACTTGCAAAGGAAGCTGATGTATTGGTTAATATAAAAAATGAAAAATAAGACAGTATTATTAAGAAACACAAGAAATGGAGCTTTACAGTACGGTGCAAATTGGACAAATAGTTTCGCAACACCTGTGCCAAATCGGGTGATGTTACATTAGCGTTACCTCAATAACAAATTTTACATCAACTTGACTAAATAAATATTCTGAAATTTTTTTGACCATTCCTCCTTAATAATATTCTCCAAATATGTGGCTGCTGTAATGCTACGTTCTCTTAACAATAGATTATTTCTAAGTAGGAACTGTGATTGGCCAAATGTTAATTTTCCTTGCTGCTCAAATGCTTATCCTGTTCGAGGTGCCAATTTACACGTCAACTTCTTTATCTCGTGAAGGTACTTCCTTGTAATTTTAAACGTAAACTTGTCCTGGCATTTTTCATGGAAGTAATAAAGACTGGATTTAGCCGATTGCAAAATATACCCCATGCGTTGATTATTGTTCAGTTCTTTGGATTAGACGCACTGGCCATTTGGTCTCTAACTTCTCTAACTCATATTGTACAGAGATCTGAAAAACTGCGCGATGCAATAATTCATGTACTTCTAAACGCTTTTGTTTGTGCATTCTTGTAATGGAATTTCGGTTTGCAAGTTATATATATAATTTATGTGATTCTTGATATATTGGTTCGCCTTTTATTTCAACACAAATATTGATCCTTATTATAGTTTTCATTTCGTTGACAAATTCTTTAGTTACAAAGTTAAAAATTAATATGCACGCAGTTGTTAATTCAGGGACAAAACTTTTGTTAACAAATGCAAAATTCATGATACGAACCAATGACAATAATCATATAATAAGTTTTTTTTGTTTATTATGTTTAATTCACGTTTTTTCGTTTTTTTTAAAAAAAAATTTTTTTAAATAAATTTAAAAATAAATGATAATTCAATCCCTCTTATCACACCACCCGCTATAATTTATAAAAGTTACACACTCATAAAGGAAGACTAGACTACATGGTGAATCCGTCTACCTATCCGAAGACATGGTGAAAGAGTCTACCTATAACCATCGCCCCCCTCCACAAGAGGGAGTCTAAACACCCACAAAAGTGAATGCAAACTGAGGAATTGGCAAATGAATTCTATCCTTATTTATATTAAATGTGAAAAAATTTAAAATTGTGGGATTCAAAGATCTTCATAACATACACTAATTATGGATGATCATTGATGTAACGGTAATGTGATTTTAATAATTTTAATAGCCAATAACATATATTATTCGTTTTTGGTTCTTTTATCGCAATTTTTAATCATTTTTTCATTTTATTTTTCCAAAATAGGTAATCTCATATAGAAATAATAACAATCATTTACAATAATGATCAAATTAGAAAGATCTTATTATACCAAAGAAATAAAAAAAAAAGGAAGAAGATGTCGGTGATTTGTCAAGTTGAAATTCAAAATTTTCAAAAATTTATTAAAAGACCTAAAGAAAAGGTTTATGATGAATTAAACAAATTTTAATGTAAACAAAATATTTATTAAATTGGATTGATGTCTAAACAGAACAAATAAATGGTTACATTTACTTCATTTGAAATTCTAATGTAAAAATACAAATCAAATGATATTAAAAAAAAAACAAATGTGACTGCAACTAATTACATTATTTTATATAATAATTATATAATAATTTAAATTGTGTATAATTAATTGGTTAAATTATACAGTTCAATTGATTGTTTTTAACTTTTTATTATATTTCATATATTTATTTTATTTAATATATTTATTATTTTTATTTAAAATTAATTGGTCATATGGGAGCATCATATGGGAACGTCGCCAGTAAAATCACATTACAGATCATATGATTTACTATATCTCGTGACTTGATTTTACTGGCAACGTTCCCAAATAGTAATACAAAATTATTATAAATAAGATAGTTCTTTATTGATATAAAAATATTAAGACTATAGTATTTTTAAAATATCAATAGCTTTAATATTAATAATTAGCTAAAATATAATAAAAGAATTAATATTAAACATAAATTTTCTTCTTTCTTTGATCTTTTATCTCTTTTATTTAGAATTTGAAGTGATACTCTATATATTTTAGTTTATCAGTCATAATTTTCCTATTATTTTGTAAAGAAACTGTAAATAAAATAGAGATATATATTACTAGTTTAAAAGTTAAGCTTCCTGGAATACTTATTCCTTCAATAGTTTTCTTTTCAAATTAAAAAGTAATTTTACTTACAGTTTAAAGTTAATTTTAAATATTTTAAAAATTAATTATTAAATTAATAATATTTTTATAATAAAATTTATAATGTTTTTTAATTAAAATTATATTAATTTAATATCTTTTTACCCTTTTTACATTAATTTAAAATTAAATTGTTTTGAAAATTTTTTAATAAAAGTATTTTTTTTATAAAAGCTAAAATTTTTAAATTTTTATTTATTTTATATTATTAAAAACTTTATAAAATATATAAATTCATTTTAAAACATTTATTTATATATTTAATATTATTTATTTATAAAAAAAATCATTATATATTTAATATTTTAATTATTAAAATGAAATTTTATTTAAAAATAATAGATTTATAATAAATATTTAAACTAAAAATTAAAAAAAATTGTGAGTTTTTATATAAAATTTTGTATAATAATTGATTAAAAATCATAATTAAATTTAGGATTCTCAAAATTGAATTGAATTAAATATTTAAGCAATTTGAATTTGATTTAATTAAACTCAAATATTTTTTGAATCAAATTAAATCAAATCAAATATTTGATTGAATTGAATAAAATATAAAAAAATTTTTAATTTTTACAATTATATTGTAATAGAAGAGTCAACCGCAAATCATATGACAACAGAATAAATCACCTGATCTACTACGCTAAGTATCTGCCATATCTTCCAATTCTGGCAGATCTCTAAAATATGCCAGTTCTGCGCAATATACCAGAAATATAATATATGCCAGATATCTGAGAAATGGCAGATATCTTAGAAGTAAAGGTAACGCAGAAACTAGATGACGCCAGAATCTTCTTTTTTATTAATAATTAATTAACAATAATAATCGATTACATATCTTATATTTCTTTATTTTATTTATTTATATTATCGAATTTCTTATAATAGGGTAGCTTTAGAACTTTATAAACGACAGAGAATTTACTTAGTTTTATCGTTAACAAGATAATTACTAAAACACTTGTATACAAACAAATACATTTGTAATAATTCTTTTCTTTAATAAAATTCTAAATTACTTAACCCATAAACCATACTTGTCTTTTAAAATATATTTGATCGATAAACCTTCAGAAGCTCTCCATAAATCGCACTGCAAAATCTTAAAACTAAATCCTTTGTTAATCTTGCGTTAATACTAATTTTCAGTCATTAGTATCATAAGATAACAATATATTAAAATAAAGTTATTCTAAAGTTTTATTTAAAAAAATTATTAGTAATTGTATTAAAAAATTTCAAATATAACTTTTATAAAATAAGTTTAATAATAGGTTAATTTTTACTATTAAAAACTTAGTAAACAACTTTGTAGCTTCAGTTTTACTAAAAAACTTAATAAAATAACTTTACAGTTTCAGTTTTACTAAAAAACTTAGTAATAATTGCTATCATAACTTCAATTTACTAAGAAAGCTTAATAATAACTGCCATCATAACTTTAGTTTTACTAAGAAAATTTAGTAATAATCTCTATCGTAACTTCAGAACTATTTTATTAGTAAAAAATATTTTTAAAGCTGCAAATGCGTTTTTTACTAGGTTTTTTAGTAAAAAAATGTCTTCAAAGTTGCAGAGGTAATTTACTATATTTTCTTAATAAAAAAATGTTTTCAAAGCTGCAAAGGCGTTTTTTACTAAATTTTCTTAATAAAATAACATTTTTACAGCTGCAGATGTATTTTTTACTATATTTTTCTAGTAAAATAACATCTCTGAAGTTGTAAAGACATTTTTATTATGTTTTTCTTAGTAAAAAAAGCATTTCTGATATTACAAAAGTGCTTTTTGCTATAGTTTTCTTAGTAAAAGCTATTTCTGAAGTTTTAGAAATAGCTTTACTATTGATTTGAATCAAATCAAATATTTGAATACTTGATTTGAATTTGATCAAATTGAATTAAAAATTAATTTGAATTTGATTGAATTTGATCAAACCAAATTACTTTTATAATCATCATCACAATTACTATCATCAGATATATTTTCAATAAAATCTTTATTAAAAATCTTATTATCTAATTTATTATTTAACATGTATTCAAAATTTATTTTTAGTTGTAATAAGAAAAAAATATAAATGAGAGAAAAAAAAAGATAAAGGAGAAAGAATATGAAAAGAAAGAAAGTAAGAAACAAAAATAAATATTAAGAATTAACACATAATCATGTGAAATGTCTAAATTCAAGTATATATCAAAAAAATATTATCGCTTAGATTGTCTAGCAGGTAAATTTGCCTGCAAAATTAAAAAAATTGATAATTTTTTTATAAAATATTAAATATTAATTTTAGTAATATTATTATTATATAAAAAATATAATTTAATATATTTTTTATCAACTTTATTAACAAAAATTTTAAGTTTTTTAAAAGGTTTTAAAATAATTTAATTATAAAATTAAGTTTCAAAAAATTTATT